GGTGAGAACACTATAACTTCTCCCAATTCTAAAAGTATGGTGCTCATTTATGAGGGCAAGGCTGGGGGGAAGCCCAGTTCCTAGCGACCACACCTGGGGAACCTGGCGCACCCCAGAGTTATAAATGCCTTACTCTTGTATGGGGCACTGCAGGAGAACGACCCCAATACGTCCCACCCTACTCGTGGGACCAATATGGAAAACACAGTAAAAAATCTTGAAAAAACAAGGATAAAAATAGGGTAGCACCACCGTCAAGGAACCGGATAAGGTTGAAAAACCGAAATCTGGGGCCCAAAAGCGGGGGGCTAAACGCCAAGTCGCGTATGAAAGGGCAAAGACCGCAAGGTCGAACCAAAATCTTGGGGAAGGGCCCTCTAGGACCACCCCGGAAGTAGCAGAGGGTGCACACCAGAAGGCTGGGACGCAAAAGCGACACCGGTCAGACGTGAGCACACCACAGCAGATGAAGAAGAGGCCCAGGAACCCTGAAACAGGGAAACCAATGGCGAGTTACCGCGATGCTGCAGTGGGGACCAAAATGGCTATAACAGCCATTGGATACCCAACCATGATGATTTCTGAGGAGCAGTCCCAGCTCCTTAAGCAATGGCTAATTGCCAAAATACCCGAAGAGGGGAAAGGTCCTCAGTTCAAGAGCACATACTACGGGGGGGAGTGCTATACCTTACATGCGCCAACGAGTGGACCAAAAGTTGGCTCGTTGGTGCAGTGGGGGAAGCATCTCCATGGGAAGGAGCGCAAGTCCAAATTCTGGAAGCAAGCAAACTTCCAAAACCCGTAAAGGTCCTCGGTTACTTAACCGAGGAAGTACAGGACAAGGACCGGTTCCTGCGGACGGTGGGCGCTCAAAACCAGCTAGAGACCGGGACTTGGAAAGTCCTGTCTATTAGAAAGGTCGAGGGGGGCACTGGCTACCTAATGACCTTACTGATGGATAAACAGTCCTGGGAAAAAGTGGGGGTGAGACGAACCCAAGAAGTTGTATTCTCGTCAGAGGTAACATGGGTCCTATGCCACTGTGGACTTACTGCGATAAAGACACAGCGACAGTAAGATTAAATCTAACATTAGAAGGGAGCCAACAAGATGTAATACATCGGCGTACTTTCCTTGTGACCAACAAGGGGAACCACCAGCCGCCATGCTCAGGTCTCTGGTGGAACAACTTGGATCGGCTAACCTGATAATAGGATATGATGCCAATGCACATCACACAATGTGGGGGAGCACTGACATCAACAAACGTGGTGAATCACTACTCAACTACTGTCTCTCCACAGATATTAATATTCTCAACACTAGGAACGAGCCAACTTTCGTAACTGTGGCAAGAAGTAATCGATCTAACACTGTCAAAGGGACGCATAAGTGAACTGGTAAAACAGTGGCATGTATCGAATGAAATTAGTCTGTCAGACCACAGATACATAAGGTTTAACCTTGAATCGACAATTAACACCCAACGGGAGTACAGAAACCCAAGAAAAACGAACTGGGACCTATATAAAGAGGTACTAGAACGTAACTAGGAGAGCTGCTCAAAAGAGGCGAAAGATACCTTTGATCTTGAATTACTCACCGACTCGGTGACAGAATCCATTAAGGATGCCTACGAGCGGGCATGTCCACTGCGTTGCTCAAAACAAAAAGAGGCCCATCTTGGTGGAACTCTGACCTAGAAAACCGCAGAAAGAAAACAAGAAAGCTGTTCAACACAGCGAAAAGAACGGGATGATGGGACCTATGCAGACACCACCTAACCGAATATAACAAAGCCATCAAAAAGGCCAAGAAACTGGGTTGGCAAAAACTATGCCGGGAACTATCAGAGATACCTGCCTACTCCCGACTGCATAAAGCCATGGCCAAGGGGCCACAGCAGACCCTAGGAACATGCCTAAAACCAGAAGGAGAACACACGATTACTAAAAGTGAGACACTTAGGCTTATGCTGAGGACCCACTTTCCAGGATCAATCATACTCGAAAATTCGGAAATCCAAATCCAAACCACACTTGTAATTAAAAGGGGTAAAAAGAAGGACTGGATTCTATCGAAAAAAGTAATTACATACGAAAAAGTCAAATGGGCAATAAAAACTTTTAAACCATTTAAATCTGCCGGAACTGACGGAATCATACCAGCCATGTTACAACAGGGCCAAGACCTGCTGCTACCAAGACTGTGCAAAATCCCAAGAGCCAGCCTAGCTCTCAATCATATAACGGAAGGTAGAGGGAGGCATTGGTTGTTTTTATTCCAAAACCAGCAAAAGCCTCCTATGACAAACCAAAATCCTTCCGACCAATTTGCCTAACATCATTTCTTCTGAAAAAAGAGGAAAAACTGAGCAACATATACGGGAAGAAATACTGTACAGAAGGTCTCTACACCGAAATCAATTTGCCTACCAGACAGGCAAGTCTTGCGAATCCTCCATCCATGAGATAACCCAAAGGGCTGAGCAATCTTTAGACAACAAAGAAGTGGCCCTTGGGGCATTCCTGGATATCGAAGGAGCGTTTGACAACACGTCATATGACTCAATAAATCGATCAGTAAGTGATCGCAACATAAAACCTCTAGTTGGCAAATTGATCAAACAGATGCTGGCTCAACGACGAGCCAGAACCACTCTTATCAACACAACTGTTAGAGCTAAAGTGTGCAGAGGCACACCACAAGGGGGGGTGCTATCACCCCTGCTATGGAACCTCGTATCGGACAGTTTACTGACACGATTGTAAAATATACGCAATAGGATATGCGGACGACATTGTACTCCTTATCAGAGGCAGCAACACAGCCCATGTGTTTACCAAAATGCAAAGAGCGCTAAACGCTGTCGAAAACTGGTGCAATGAGGAGGGACTTCGGGTAAATCCCACAAAAACTTCCCTTATTGCCTTTTCTCGTAAAATAAAGTTGGAACCCGTGAAAAATCTAATCTTCTACGGGGAAACGCTGCCCTTGAAAGACGAGGTTAAATATCTAGAAGTTATACTGGATAAAAAACTCACCTATCGGAAGCATATAGAAAACATAACAAATAGGGCCATAAAAACCTTTATGACCTGTAAAAGAACATTTGGTAAATCTTGGGGATGGTACAATGAGGGTGCACAGCTATGGTCAGACCCATAATTACCTACGCGGCGCTAATAAGGTGGACTCCCCCCTCTCCACATTTAGATTAAAGCTGAAGCGTTAGCGGGAGCCCAGAGACTAATCTCAAATAAGGCCGAAGTTATTTCCAACATCAGACATAATGCCATATTTGAAGAGCTAGAAAATACTAGCAGTCTAGCCATAGAACAGACAAAGCCAAGGTCAAACACTTCAATAAAGCTTTTATGTCAAAAAGGATAAAGGCTGAGGAGATAAACAACCAGATTGCCCGACTCAGGCAAGAAGAAAACCTAATCTGGTACGTAGAACACAAATGGTCAAAGACCGGTGTATCTGCGGTATAAGAGGTATCTCAACAGGGCAGTCAAGAAATACTAAACCTGGGAAAATAGATAACCGATCTTCAAGCGGGTATCATTGCCAACCATTGCCAACGAATGAGGTAGAGCAATCCCACGGAGAAGTTGCTCACATACGAACCAGAACCAATCCAGGCACTGGAGGCATTTGAAATCAATTCGAAGGCCGTACTAGAATGTCTGAGAGATATGACGGCATTAACCGAAGCACAAAACCAGATAACTCTTACCCTAGTGCAAGAAGAAGGCAGAAACAGTCGCAGCTGATGAAGTCGAAACCATTCTGATGGGGCCGGAACCCACATGCGGCACCAGCCAAGAATCGTCCAGGAAAAAACTAATTGACTGGACAGAACTACAACACAAACAATACTGGGAAAGCCTGTCTGGACTGGAGCATTCTAAAGCACTTTTGGACAATCCATCTGCTGAAGGGCAGAAACCGATGAGGACCCAACTAAAGAAAGCATTAGACCTTCTCAGAGGCCATCCTCCATTCAAAAAACACATAATGGGGATGACAGATGACCCTTTGTCTAGAGGATGCGAAGAAGACCTCTTCACATTAATAATGTTCTTCTTAAGGTGTTGAATCCGCCACATTGACACATAATGATTATGTGTCAATGTGGGGGATTCAACACCTTAAGAAGAACACACCTGGGATAGTCTAAACTCACACCAGAACTTTTAAAATTGCTCCCACTGCCTGGGCTACTGCGCTTCATAGAAGCAACGGAGCTAGAGCTATGGAAGTAATACCATTTAGGGCACAATAGGATTGCGAAAGCAAACCGCAGTGCAGGGCTTTGAACCGCCTAACGGGGGTCTATAGACGGAGTCCCACACTACTCGGGACCCCAAGAGGAACCGAGTGTTCGTAAAGAATTTCTCCGCCGGCCAAAGAAAAAAAATGCAATTTTTTGCTTTTTATAGAGCCAAACCACAGAAATTTATGAAAGCTTAACCTAGGCGAGGTAAGCAAATGATTTAGTAAATTTTGATATGACCTAAATTATAATTATATATATATTTAGTTAACAATTCGTATCATACGTGGACGTATTAATGTCTATGGTATCATATATTTTAAATCCCCCACTTATGAACTGACTATGCGCATAAGGTAAAATAATACGGAAAATCGACAAATTTGCCCTCAAAAAAAAAATTGTCATTGTCGGTTTGGTTAAATACTTCTTTGCTTTTATTTTTATTTTAAAAAAATGCCAACCACGCGAGATACGCATCTTCTTCGTCGCGACGCTCATGGTAACAACTGAACAAACACCAAAGCAACTAGTTGCCGAACAGTTGGTCAACAAAAATACGTGTTTTAGTTAAAAGCTAAAAGCTGACCAACTGTTGTTTAACTGTTTTCCAACTATTGTTCAAATGTCAACAATGTTTGCTCCTTAAGTATATACAAGGATTTAATATAAGAGGAATTTACTGAATTGCAATTGGTTTTAAATTAAAAAAACTTACCTATATAGGAGAATTTGTTGAGCTGTTTTAATCCCTACTGAATGTAGCCCTTCTAATTGTTTCAAAGATCCTTTATTTAAAATATTTAATACATGTTTATTATGAGCAGTCAAAGGACTACAAGTTTTTCTAAAATAGAAAATATGTTATTTGGGTTTTAAATTTGGAGAAAGTAATATCTTACCTCTTTAATTTGCTCTTAGTCCTTGGTGTTTTGGATGTGTTGCTTATATTAATAATATTAATTTTTGAATTTTCATTAATAAATATTTGGGTTTTCTCTTGCTTTTCAGTTAACCTAATACTACGTCTATTTTTCTTCACAGGGCTTTTTGAACTAGTTTCAACAAAACTATCAATAGTATTGGAACAATCTTTTAAAGACAATCGAAGGCTTCTTCTAGGGTTCATAGAAATCTCATTATATTTTTTCTTTTTTAAAGGAATAGAAGGTATTTTAAATTCGTTATAATTAACTTCCTTACTTTCAACCATGTCTTTGTTTAAATCAGGACTATCATATGACTAAAAAATATATTTATAAAATATTACCTATACATGGTAACCAGAAATTGATGTAGGATGTAGGATATAGGATTACATAACATTATTTTGTCAATATTTAATGGAATACATAAAAATAAATAATTATAAAAAAGTCAGAATAGGACTTGTGGGAAAAACTAAGTCTTAATAAGTCAGACTAATAGCAAGACTTTGGAGTCTTCTGGAAGAGTAGTAGTTATGGCAGAGAAATGGTAGGTAGTCTTATTCCAACTTTTTCGGACTTAATAAGTCTTATTCGGACTTTTCCAATTTAATAAGTCCTATTCAGAGTTTTTAAGAGAAAGTCAGACTTTCAAAACTCTAATCTTTACTTATTAAAACTTTTTCAGAAACAAATTTCCACACGGGTGACTCGCGTTTTGTTCCAAAAAACGTAAAAATGTATACCTACAATTTGTTTTGTTTTGCGAATTTTTTTAATTAAGTATATTCTGGTAATGGTTACTAACATAGACTTAGTGGTAAGATATTATTATGTTTTATTTAAACATTATTTTTAAACTGTGTTATTATGGCTCTGAACGCACATATTAAATAAATATTAACAGTTTAAAGGCTTACCAGCCCCAGTTGGTTAAATTAAATTTATTAATAAATAATACTTACCAAAACTCTTTTTAATGTAGTTTCGTTAATTATGGGACTACTTGTGGCTCTTATGGATTGAACAGAAAATTGTTGTATTTCGGTTTTGACCAATTTAGTGACTTCTGACTGTATTTGATTCCAAGAATACCTAAAATTATTATTATAATATCGTATTTAATACAAATTTATGTAACTAGGATTTAAAACATGCAAGTGTAAAAAAACTTACTTTGGACTAGGAGTATTTTCTTTTTCAATAATTTTAATGCTTTTTCTAGATGATCTTCTGGGTTTTAGAAGTGATTTTTCAATTACACTACCTAGTTTGGTAATGATGGAAGATTCCATAGCATTGATATATTTTTTTATTACTGGACTAAAAGACTGCTGAGAAGGATAACAAATTATAGGTGATGTGGAAAGGGACGATACTGATTTAGGACTCTCAATTGTGCTATTTTTATATTGATCAGAAATAGTGCCAAGGGAAGCACAAAACCTATTTTTTTTAGTAGACACTAACGAATTAGAAGTCATATATGGTCTTTTAAAGGGGGTGTAGCTTTTTGAAAAGGAAATTTCATTTTTGTTTAGTAAAAATGGCTCATTTGATCTGGGTTTGCTTTTTATTTTTTTCACTCTGTAGGCAAACTCCAGTGTTTGTACAGTTTCATTCACATCTTCTGGAAGCGAACTAACGCAGGAGATAAGAGAGACATAATTTCTTTTATTTAAAGAATCTACAAGTAAATAAGTAAGTAGTATAAGTATAAGTAAAATAAATAACATGTTTAAAAAAATTCAAATAAATTTAGAAAACATGTTTTTTATATCGAGGGTATGAAATCAGATCGTATCCCCCAAAATAAAAACTTTTGAGTATGAGTATAAGAGACTTATAACCTGCCCCATTGCTTCTCACTCCCGGACCCCGCACAAGCGTCTGTTACCTTACGCCGATTCTTTCCGCCACCAGCAACGTGTTTGCTTGGTGCGAATGTCGATTGCGTCCCGTACTGTACCCTATTTGAGGCTCGAGAGCGAAATCCATATAGTTTGAATAGCCTTTCCCGGATTCGCCTGGCCGTTGCTATACGCCCAGTAGGACCATGATCCTCCTGGTAGGACGGGGATAGACATTTTGGTGTTTAGGGGACAATTACGCATTACTCAAATCTGTGTACGACGCGGGATCCTCCTAGACCGGGAAATTAGTATTACTCCAAACATTTGGGATTACTTTTTGAAGTAGGGGAGTTCTACGTGGTCTACGTCTTGACCAATATTGTTCGTGTCCAAGTCGGATGGTTCCTGCATTTGGTATAGTAGTATAGTAGTTCCGTTGTTTCCTCATCTTAGTCTTGTTGGTGCTTAGTTGCCTCCAACTGTTCTTGTTAATTTGTGAGATGTGACCGGTGGGAGGTATGTGTTTACCAAATGCATTAGAATACGGTTTGTGTGGTTTTTTGTGTTTAGGTTTTTTTAATTTATTGTGTGTTTGTTTAGATTTTTTAAGTGTCAAATGTTTATTTTTGGTATCGTTTAGTTTAAACAGTTTATTTGGGACCGTCCTCTTAAATTAATGGGTTTAGTGACTTACTTGTTTGCTAGCAATGGATTTATTGTCCTACTTAGCTTTCCCTTGAATGACGGCGGTAAGAATTTAACCGGCTTTGTTTCTTTCTTTTTTTACTCTTGTTAAGCGAAAAGTACCTCACTTAGGTTTGTGAAGGTACCTGCGCTGTATAAGAAATTATTGACTTGTATGTTTTACGCGAGGTCTCGATACAATTCGATACGATACTCGATACTCCAAAATGAAAACTTTAGAGGAGAAGATAAAAACGTTTTAAGGTTCCATTTTTGTAAATAATTAGTAGTTTTTTCTAGGGCTGTTGTACTTGATCAGCTAAACTGGCTTAGACGGTCAAATATTTTTCAGCAAAGCCGGCTTGCTGGACTAATAAGTCTAATCTGGCTAATATTTAACCGGTAATTAACTACTTAAGCAATCTTTATAAAAGAAATGGAAATTCATACGGTTTTCATGGAAATTTTAAAAAAAGCAAAATATGACTTTTCAAAAAAATTACAATAGTTTTATCTTGAATCATTGTTCCCACACTTATGTCAGCAAAGTAGTTTATATGAGCAAATAAAAGTTCTTTCAAAACATTTTTATCAAGAATTACTTTTCTTCGAAAAATTAAAAATATAAACATAAATAAACTCGATTATACAAAAACAAAGAAAATCCAACTTTATAATTGTTGTTGTAATTTGTAAAACTTGTAAACACAATCCGGGGACATACTGTATATTACTACTTCTTTTTGTATAAATTGGTTTGAACATATAAAAGTTTCAAATTTACAAATCTTTTAGTGTTTTTTTTTTAATTTTCATTATAAATATTGCTAAACTAGTTAAATACCGGTTGGCTATTAGCCGAAATAGCCTTATTAGCCTAGTAAGCCGGCTGCGAGATTTCTAAACCTACAAGACTTGTGAATGGGTGTAACGCTATTGGTTTAAAGAGGGTTACGTGACTTTGTCAGGTGTGGCCTGTCGCATTTTGTTCAAGCAGATTTGTTTATAATAACCTTAAAATGTTATAACGCCAAAATTGAAAAAAATGCGAATTAATTACGATTTGACAGTTAATAAGAATCATAAAAAGACGGTAAGTTAAATTTTATTTTCATTTAGTAATGGCAAGGTTTTCTCAGCTAGAGTTTGTTAAAAAAAACCTTTATTATTAGTCTTGTTCCTAGTTGTGAGAGGTTCTTTATGTTGTTTAATTTTAGTTGTGTGAAATATTGCCTGCTGGTGGTGATGATGATTCTTGTAATTATGAGGGTTTAGTAATTAAAACAGAGGCTTTGGTAAAGGGTTTTTCTGCTGCAATCCGATTAAATGCTAATAAAAAGGAGCAAGCTTTGAATTGGCTTAAACATTTTCAAGAAAAAAGTTAAATAACTTTTAGGGTAGAAAGAACGCATGCAAAAAATACTGAAAGAATAATATTTAAGGTTAGAATACCATATTTATTTATTTATTATTTATGTTTATGTACATTTTTTTGCAGAAAGAATTCCATTGTATTCATAACACTAAACCATCAAGGAATTCAAAACCCCATGAGAAGTATTTAAATTGCAATGCCAAATTAACCATAACAATAAAGAATAAAGAAATGAAAAGGTTTGTTGTACTTGCATGTTTTTTAAAAAGTCGGTAAAAAATGCTTATTATCGCCGTTTTTTCTTGTAGAAGTAAGGATGAATTTTTGGAAAGATATCCTTGTATAATTCTGCTGAGGCACAATCACAACCATCCAATATATAGTTCCTCTTCTTTGAGGTTTCGACCACCATCCGAACAATTACAAAATGAATGTAGACTTTTATTTAAAAAAGGGCATTCCCCAGCAACTGCATTGACAATGTTTAAAGATAAATTATTGGAGGAAAATGGTGACAAATATCATGAAATTACAGCTGATGGTGGTAGATGCCCAACTCAAAAGTGGGTGTACGATTTATATTATGAAATTTTCAAAAAAGAGTATGGGGAACCAACTTTAACAGAAATGATTGATTCAATGGAAAAGGCAATTAAAAATTATAACACAAAGTGTGGGAGTGAATGTGCTGCCATTAAGACAACGTAGTTATTGCAATTTGCAGCCCAATTATGAAAAGGGTGCATAATTATATTCGAGCATCGAGTGAAATTATGTTTGTTGATGCTTCAGGAAACATGGACAGGCATAATACCAGAGTGTTTTTATTTTTATGTCCCTCAGTTGCAGGTGCTTTGCTCCTAGGTATTTTAATGACATATTCTGAATATGAACAGGTTATCAAAACTATTAAAATGACTTTTAGATAAGCAATCATTTTATGGGCAGAATTATCCACAAGTAATAATAACTGATGATTGTAATGCTGAACGCAACAGCTTAAAATTTTGTTTTAAACGCTCATCTGTAATACTGTGTAAGTTCCATGTGTTTCAATCAGTAATGAGATATTTATGGAATAGTAACAATGGAGTTAAAAAAAATGACAGAGTCGAAATTTACCAAATTTTAGAAGAGCTTTAAATTCTCCTAAAGAAGAGGAATTTTTGACTTATTATAACAAGCTTCGATCACACCTTTTAACTAGAGGAAACGAAACTAACAACTATGCTGAAGCAACGTTTAGAATTTTAAAATATAAAATATTATTAAGAAAAAAAGCATTCAGTATAGTACACTTATTTGATTATTTAACTTCAGCATTTGAAGAATATTATTTTAAGAAAATTATTGACATCATAAATGGGCGATGGAAAGGCGCAAAACAAAAAAATAAAACTTCTTTAAGAAAGAAGTAATTTCAAATTTAGTGTGCATAGAAATTAATGAAAATATATATGAAGTGACATCAAATGAAAAATCCTATATAGTCAATTCAGAACTTGAAATCTGTTCTTGCTATGTGGGCTATAAAGGAGCACCCTGCAAACATCAGTTTGCAGTAATTAAAAAGTTTGGCTTAAATAGATCACAACAATTCCATCCTTCGTTGCTTAAATGTGATTTTAAAAAGCTTTTACATAAAGTTATTTATGGAACAGATTGTAACATTAAAGACTGGTATTTGGATTTAAATGAAATGAATGAGGATCGACCTCGGTTAAGTAAAATTAAATGAACAAAACAAAAATATTGATGAGTTTCGAAAGAAACTTGAAGGATTTGTTAGTTTGCTGATGGAAAAGTACGAAAATAACTTTCAGGAATATGGAAGGCCAGTTACAAATTTTCTTGAAAATATTGCAAATTGTAAAACAGATTCATCTCTTGTAAGTGCTCTGTATACTCTTGGCAAATACGGTGCTGGAATGCCAAAAATTATCAAAGGAAAAAATCTACTAGTAGGAAACAATATTGGGGTTCAGCCGACTGCAATTATGAGACGAAAAATTAGACTTAAAAGTCGGAATACTGTACATAGCGGTAGGCCACCTAAAAGAGCACGGTTAATTGACCATGCATACGCAAAAATTAAAAATTATGAAAATAATTATGAAGTGCCAAAATGTTTTAGAATTGCAGCACCCCATTTGTTGTCATCAGAGCTGCAAGCTCTCAGAAAACTTAAATCGTTTTTTTATTTAAATCGTTTTAATGACTTAAGTCATTTGGTTATAAGTCATTTCTCTAAAACACTTAAAGACTTAAAATTTAAGTAATTTTCAAAATGATTTGTGACTTAAATAAGTCATTTATAAATCAATACATACGATTTAAGTCAGATAGAAACGATTTAAGTCAAAAAAAGATTGAAGTCTTTTTGAAAAAGACTTAAGTCTTTTTAGAAAATATTTAAGTCAGATTTTTCATATATTTTTTTATAAATTTTTAACAGCGGCATTTTCTTTTGAACTGCCAGGGGTTCACGCGGCAGCAGATCAAAAACTCCTTTAATTTCCTACCTACAATTGCTACCGCTAGTGGATAAAAAAACCGCCGCGATAAAGTTATCTTTTTGGAACCGTTTGACGGCTACATTAAAAAATGTCCTGTCTAAAATGAATTAAAAAAAGTGGGGATTTATAATTTTGTTATTTTGTTTGCCAACATTCGTCATGTTCGTGCGTATACTATAGTTATGTCTAATTTGTGATTATTAGTGCAAAGTGAAAACAATCTGAGCGGTCGTGAATCGAGAGTTTGGAACTTCCCATCATTACTACCTTAAGGGAGGAATATTTTTTTTCTAGATGGACGTTGAACCAGCTAACAAAAGTTAACAAAACAACAAGTTATCAGTTTTTGAAATACAACGATTTTAAGAAAAATGCTTCAACTTTTATCTATTTTAACAGAGTTACCCATTTATGTATATAAAAAGTAGCCTCCCTGTATGTCTATTCTACTTAAAAAGGTGGTTTAAAAAATCGTTGTATTGTAATTATTTTGATTTAAATCACAATTTTTGATTCAAGTCATTTTATTGATTTAACTCTTAGATCACGATTTAAATAAAAAATATAGACTTAAGTCATAAAAACGACTTACTAAAGGAATTAAGTCATAAGATGACTTAAATCACTTTATATTGATTAAGGAATTTGCGAAAATGACTTGACTTGAAAGAAAATGATTTAATTCAAAGACTTAATACTTAAATCATTTGAACTTTATCTTAGAATTGACTTAAGATTTAAATCATTTTGATTTTAGAATTGACTTAAGACTTAAGATTTAAGTCTTTTTAAAACTGACTTGTTGCAGCTCTGGTTGTCATACTGCGTTGATAATAATGTAGCTTTAGGCAAAACCCATTCAAAAAAATGATTACCTACTTATATTATTTAGTCCTTTTTTTACTATTTGTACATTTATATGTAGAAATGCTTATAATAAACTTAGTAAATACTAATGGCTTTAGTTAATTATTTTAGTTGCCCTTATTTTTTTCAGTTAGAATTACAGAAATTATGTATATTAAATATTACCATTTTTTTGAAAATCACTACGTTTATATCGGTGGATTAAAATTGGGATTGACTTTAAAACGAACCAATTTTGACTTTGCGAACACTGATCCATTTTTAAATCAATCTCGATTTTAATCCGCCGATATATACGTTTAAACGTAGTCATATGTTAATTAACTTCACAAATAAAAACTTTTAATTTAATTAGATAAAAATATATGTAGAAACATGTTTAAACCTAACGTCTTACAACAGCAAAGTGTTTTTTTATAAAAGATAATTTAAAAAAAGTATATAACATTAACTGTTGATGATCAACATAAAAATTAAAATATTTAAATTACGCGCGTCCTTGTCTAGAGTAGTTTAAACCAGGGTTGTGAACCGTAACAAAATTTCGGTCCATGGACCGGTTCGCCAGCGGTTCAGTTCCAAAAAAGGTCCATGTAACCGGACCGTTTGTGGACCGTTTGTGTTGGACCGTTCCAGCATAAATAGGTTCGACTGAACCGGTCCGTTTTGGAACATTGACAGTGTGGACCGCCAAAAACGGTCCGGTCCACGGTCCATGGACCGGTCCGAACGAACGAAAACGTATCCTCCCAAACGTTTTAAAGGGTGAATGTGGCACGTCAATTTTTATTTGTAAAAGGAGACATTTTATTGTACGACCCCACCCGCACCCCTACGCGCTCTACCCCACCCGCCCCCAAAATCTTAAATTGCACGGGGGTTTAAGTGATATCGTTTTAAAGGTCTGCAATTTTCTCATAAATCTGTTGGTCAGTTTTTTAAACTAGGTAAATTAAGAGAAAAACAAAAACATTTTTTAATCAACTTTTTTATGGGTCTCATGGAGCAAATGTGGATTAGGATTGCTTCAAATCTTATAAATGGTGATTCACTAGCTAAAGGTGATTTATTCAATAGCTGTATAATTGCGGCTTTGCTCGGATAACGTTTTTTCAGCAACTGTCATTTTGACAGCTCATTTCGGCACCTGTCATTTTGACAGTTTTTATTTGGGCTCCTGTCATTTTGATAGCTGTTATTTGGGCCCCTGTCATTTTATCACCAGTTATTTTTACAACTTATTTTGACAGCTGTTATTTGGGCACCTGTCATTTTATCATCACTAATTTTTATAGCTGTTATTTCCGCACTTTCGCCATTTTAACAGCCTTTATTTTGACACCTGTCATTTTGACAGTTACCATTGTGAACAACGGAAGATGGAGAGAATCACTTTGAGCGTATTTCTCGTTGATTTACAATAATTGTAAAAAACCATATTGTTTTTTCACTTAATTTACTTAATTTTTTCATGAAACGTACATTAAAATTTGTCCCCCTAGAAATAATGTTAGATTTATCATTCCACGTTAGATTTTTATATTTATTTTACCAATTACAAAAAATTTTCAGAAAATAATTAAAATTTTCGGAATATCGCTTTCTCGTGAATAACTTATTATATTGATAGTATTTAGTTGTTTTTTAATAATTAATCATTAAACATTTCTATAGATTCTGAAGATTTGAGCTGTTAATATTAACTATAGTAATTATTTTTCGAATTTTGACGATATTAAAATTCATTAAATTAAAAAAACAATAATTAAAGAAGCAATAATTTGGTACCCACTGCGCCCACATAAAACCAACTGGTATCTAATGCGCATGGAAACCACCACCTGGTACCCACTACGCATAAAAACTATCACCTGGTACCTTCTGCGCATAGACACAATAATCTCGTACCCACTGCGCATAGATTAAATCATTTGGTAGAAAGTGCGCACACATAAAAGCACCTGGTACTTCCTGCGCATGGATCCAACCATCTGGTACCTACTGCGCATAAAAATAAACCACCTGGTACCAACTACGCATGGAAACCACCACCTGGTACCTACTACGCATCGACATAATAATCTCGTACCCACTGCGCATAGATCAAATCATTTGGTACACAGTGGGCACACATAAAACCACCTGTTGCTTACTGCGCATGGACCCAACCATCTGGTACCTACTGCGCATAAAAAAACATCTGGTACACACTGCGCAATAATGCGAATACATAATGATTAATTAAAATTTGAATATGTATGTAATACTGTTTAATATGCACGGTCCCTGACAAAAAAACTGCATTGGACGGCTATCAAAAAACCTGGCAACGTTGCTAAAAGCCATTTCGCCAGATTTTAGAATTTAAAGTGTCCTATTTAAGAAAGAACAATGTCACGGAGGACAACCACTTTTTCCAATTTAAAACCCGATTGGTTCAAATCACAGTAATAATAATAATGTCAATAATATGAAATAGGAGTGGAAATAATCTAATAATACAAATGTTTGGACCGGTTCAAAGTGTTTAAACAGGTCCAGTACCGCTCCAAAACACTCGAAAACGGTTCGGTCCAAAATTTGTACCGGTCCAAGTAATTTTAAAAACGGGACGGTCCATGGACCGGTCCAGAATTATAACTTGTTTATTTTGGGTACGGACCGGTCCGTAACAAACAAGCGGTTCTTGGACCGGTTCACAACCCTGGTTTAAACCAATAGCGTTACACCCATTCACAAGTCGGCTTGGCTGAGAAATATTTCACCGTCTAAGCGCCCCTAACCATTGAAGCTGGTCAAGCCCTTGTATTTTCAGACCAGTTAATTATTATAAGATAAGCCTATAACGTGTGTCTGAAAATACTACTAAATTTTTACAAAAATGGATTTTTTTTTATTTTGGCGCATACGCCTTTCTGATTTTATGCCCTCGATGACCCTATTGTTAAGGGAAAATGTAATTTCTTACCTTGCAATATCGTTGTTAATACGCTTTGTCTATAAGGTATATAAGACGCATCTAACGATAATGCAGACATTACTTGTCCAATAGATAATAATCCTTTATTAATATTAACCCCTTCAAAAAAAGAATTTCCCTGTGTTCCAGTTTTTTTAACACTTTCACATCCTGCTAAATCTACTAAATTTAATTTAGCATTAATTCTAAAATAAAAAAACACATCCAAATTAAAGAAAAAACATTAAATTAAATAAAATATACAGTGTGTACCGCTTTTCATAAATCCACCCTTATATCTCAGTTATTAATAATACGATTTTCTTCAAATTTGGTTGGTGATTGCATGTTGGAGAAATGAAATATTTGCTATAGTAAATTTTTTATTATTTTCATTGGCGTACGGTGTCGATTTTTCGGCAAAAGGATATAAAGGCTTATTTTAGATAAATTTTTCAATCATTTTTAGATTCAGCATCCCCAAAAACCCCTTAATCCATATTCTTAAAATCTCAAAAACTGATTATGGCAGAAACGAAAAATTAATTAATTTATCAAGAAACTTTTAAATTTACAACTTGTTTATTTAATTGCAATAAAAAACCTAAAAATTAATATTTTTTTAAATTCTGGTCTCTTCAACATAACCAACTTTTCTTAACCGTTCACTCACTTTTCTTAAAGTAATTTCTTGACACTCTGTTACGCGGCCGAGTAAAATACACTTTATTTTTCAAGTATCCTCATAGAAAAAAATCACAAGGGGTAATATTAGGCGATCTAGTGGGCCATGGTTCTAAAGGGCTATTTTTACCTATCAACTTCATAGGAAAATTTGCATTTAAAAAATTTCTCACTGACAGGGAATTATGTGCGGGGGCACTATCTAATTGGAAGTATAAATTTTCTCTATGTGCTAAAGGCAATTCCATTAAAAATCATGAAAATCATTTTTTTTTAAATGTAGAAAATTTTCTCCGTTGAGGTTATCCAGAAAAAAGGGCCAACAATTCGTTCGTTTAATATGCCACACCACACGTTAACTTTTTGACTGTATTGGTTTTTACAATTAATTAAAAAGTTGGGACTTTCGGATGCGCAATTTCTACAATTTTGACTAGACACCACTCCGTTTGTGGTAAATGTTGCATCGTCAGTAAACATTATGTTTTTAAAAAATATCTATCGCTAAGATAGTTACCTTGCGGCCATAAGCAAAATTCAAACCGTCGCACAGTAGGCTAGAGAGAGCTTCCAGCGCGCAGAAATTCAAAATAAGTAAGTGTTTTATTTCGACCAAATTTGGGGAATTTTAAATTCTTTAATATCTGTAGGTAATAAAACATCTTTAAATCACCTTGTTGAATTTTTATCAGGTAACCAGTGAAAGTTTAGGAATTATAATTACTTGCTTCGTGTTGATAAATTGCGCGTAAAGGTATTGCTTCTCTTACAATGTTTATTATTAATTTATTCTTACTTTTTGACTATAATTGTATTAAATACTATCATACGTTATGGCTGAAACTAATAATGGTAAGTTTTTATTATTATTGTACTGTCACTACCTTAATAAAGTAACCGCTGCATACTTTTAATGTATGTATGGACATTATTAAGGTTTTAAAAAATGTCACTCACTGTCACACTCTGTGTTTAGGTTTTTTTAATAGCTTACCTTTCTGTCTTTCAAATAAATCTAAAATCAAGTGCTAGTAGGCGCAACAAATATAGTTTATTTTTTTTTTAGTTAATACATTATACCTAACTCATAAGGAGCTTTGTGAAAAGTGTTTTAGTTTGAAGCATTTCAATATAAAATTAGTTTTAAATTACTTAGTAGACTAGGCATTTACAAAAACAGATGTATCTCGGAAAAAACCTAATTCAATTTTTTTTTAATATACAAAAACGCTGGAAGCCCAGAAGAAATATCATTGTATTATATAGTGTCATACGTTGGTGATGGAAACCATCAATTAAAAAGCTACCAATAAGAATTTATAATTTTGAATTAATTACTGATAACTATTAGTGAATATTAATAATTTTTGCCACCACCGCGGTAGGCTAGAGAGCGCTTCCAGCGCGCAGAAATTCAAAATAAGTAAGTGTTTTATTTCGACCAAATTTAGAGAATTTTGAATTCTTTAATATCTGTAGATAATGAAACATCTTTAAATCAACTTCAAATCTGTTGAATTTTTATTAGGTAACCCAAAGTTTAAAAATTATAATTACTTGCTTTGTGTTGGTAAATTGCGCGTGAAGGTTTTGCTTCTCTTACAATGTTAATTCCTAACTTATTTTTAATTTTTGACCATCATTGTATTCAATACTGTCATACGTTTTGGCTGAATCCAATAATGGTAAGTTTTTATAATCAATAAAGAAAGCGCATTCTCACTCTGTGTTAAGTGTTTTTAATAGCTTACTGTTCTGTCTTTTAAATAAATCTAAAATCAAGTGCTAGTAGGCGCCACAAATATTTTTTGTTTGAAGCATTTTAATAGAAATTTGTTTTTAAATTACTTAGTTGACTGCATTTACAAAAATACATGTATCTCGGAAAAAACTTAATTCAGAAGTTTAATTTTTTTCAAAAAATATAGAAAAACGCTGAAAGCCCAGAAGTAATATTATTGTATAAAATACTGTCATACTTAACAATTAGGTTTTATTTTATAAATGTTTAGTTATATTTTTGTAATTTACTCATTAAAACTATAGATCTTAATTTTGCCATCACACAAATATACTTTTGTTGTTAAAGTATTATATTGTGGTTTTGTTTTTCTATTGGTAGTAAAAAGTAATTTTTATTAAAATTTCATCAATAAGACCAAAAAAATTAACATTAACTAAGAATTACTTAACCAAATAATTTCTGCGCGTTAAATTGGCACGCTAGCCCACTGTGCGTCGCACACTGGTCCGAATCGACATTATTTTAATTCATACAGGTAGACAAATGTTTGAAGTATTTAAAAACCAAAGAGTTTAGGTATAAAATCGCCCAACCTGATCCCTAGGGCAATTTTATTTAACCTTTTTTGCAATTGCTTGGAAACAGTTATTGTGTTGATTTTGATTATGCAACAAAAGTGCTATTATTTCGTTAACGACTTGTTCGATTTTAACAGTTCAAAATGGAAAATGTTTCTGAAGGTATGTACAATAATTTTATAAAATTACATTTTTGTAAAAAAAATTATTTGTTGTTAAAATCTATACTAACATAATGGCCTGATTTTAAATTTTTTTCGATTTTTTCGTTTTTTTACTTGGAATAAGTTAAAATGTGGGCATTTGCGGAAGACGTTTTTTACGGGGAAACGTTCATTGAAGTGTCTATTATAAGGTTCTTAAAAAATTGGCTGCAGCCACTTGCGCGAAAATTAATAAAACAATAATATACACGTTCGCGCCCGCATTTGAGACAGTAGTCGCGGTTAAACGCAGTGATGCTTAGTAAATATATTTTTTAAGATTTTATAATAGGATAACAAATATACAGAAAAAATTATATATGCAAATGGTTTATTAATTTTTGCACTACATATAAAAATATTTTTACTTTCATCAAAAAGATGTTTTAATTCAAGAAATAATAATTAATTAATTTTTTTATTACATTTAAAAATAATGTTATTTAATTTAAAAAACCATGTTTAAAATAATAATTCACTTTATTTAAAAGGAAAAAGCAAATTTAAAAATAAAAGATTTTAAAAACACTGTTAAGACTTTTCTCCTAAAGAAAGCATTTTATAATTTTGAGGAATATTTTAATTGCACTGAACTTGTGTTATAGTGCCTATTTTAGTTATATGTAGTAGTGTATTGTATGTTTAAACTTTTAATTTGTATTTCTTATATTCTTATTCTTATGTACCTGACGTGTGAAAAAATTTGTAATTTAATTCACAAATAAATATTATTATTATTATTATTAAATTTATTAAATTATATATTAAAAACAAAGAACTTTACACTTTTATTTCTGAATTGCATTTACTCGTTTAAATTTAAATAAAAGTTGATTTCTTAAAATATAAATTCAATTTACTTTTTTTAAACATTTGAAAAGTTTAAATTAAAATAAATATTGATTTAAAAGAATTAATTTATTGTATGTGAAGGTACAAAAATGGTGTAATCCGCCACTTTTGGTCCGCTATTTTAAATTTAATAATTTTGATATCAAATTCGTGATAAGCGACCCCAAAAACCTAAAAATTAACATTTTCAGGACAATTAACTAATTATTTTTCAAAAAAGTCCGCCATTTTTGGTCCGCCATTTTGAATTTAATAATTTTAATATAAAATTCGTGATGATCGACCCCAAAAACCTAAAAATTAACATTTTTAGGACAATTAACTAAATATTTTTTTAAAAAGTCCGCCATTTTTGGTGGGCCATTTTGAATTTAATAATTTTGATAACAAATTTGTGATAAGCGACCCCAGAAACCTAAAAATTAACATTTTCATGACGATTAACCAATTATTTAAAAAGTCCGCCATTTTTAGTCCGCCATTTTGAATTTAATAATTTTGATATCAATTTCGTAATCAGCGACCCCAATAACCCTAAAATACAAATTTTCACATTATTACATTCACTTTTCGAGTTTTGGCCAGAGAATAAGTCGATTCGGACCAGTGTGCGTCGTTCAAAATCACCATCTAAGAGAGTATGTAGTAATTTTGGCTTAAATGCCTTAATCCTATTGCGCTTTAAAATCCTCCATATTTTATTTTTGGTTAAATTTAGTGTCCTCGCAACTGCCCTTATACTACCATTTGGATTGTTCCGAAATTCTGCTAAGATGCGTTCGTCGTCTGGATATTGTCGTCGATTTAAATTGTACTTTCTTGGTCTTATTTCCAACACGGCTCCGGTTCTTGCAAACAATTTGTTGATGTCACCAACGGTTTTGTGCCAAATTGGTGCACGATCATGATGACGCTGATTAAATATTCGAGCAACCTGACGCGTAGATCTTTCATTATCACCAATTAAGCGGATAATTTTAACTTTTTCTTCAATTATAAGAACTACTCTCTGATTTTGTGCCATTTTATTAATGCATTGATAAATGACACTGTTTAACTTTTGACAATTCGTACGAATTGACAAATGTCAAACAAAAACTTGGGTTTCAAAAAACTCTTTGATTTAATGTGCACTGGTCAACGTG